CAGAGTAAGACTCTGTCTAAAAAAAACAAAAAACAAACAACAACAACTTCCGCCTTGGAGGATGGAAGGTTGTGAGCCAGGAAAAAGGAGCTGGAGAGTGGGCACATCTTGGAAGCCGAGGCACTGCCAAAGCCAAGGGGTAACTGCTAACTCTGGGGGCCAGGGGCTGTGAAAAGCGCTCCCCTAGCTGGCCTTGATGCCTGACACCCAGGAGGGTGGGTGAGAGCCAGTGCCCCCTCCCCACTGGGGTCATCCCAACAAGGTCATGGCAGAGCAAGAAGGACCTAGAGATCCAGAATTTAGGGAAACGACAACGCACACTAGCTCTATCCCGCCTGTTACAAAAGTAGCCTCTCATCCAGGCCCCAAGCTTAAACGCAAGCAGGGAAACAAAGCCTCATTAGCTACTTCCAGCTCCTCTAAGTGTAAAAACAGCTGACAGAGAACCTGCTTCATTTCTCACAGGGACTGGGGAGTTGAAAGGGAGGGAAAGAAACAGGGAAGGTGGGGCACTGTACTCCACCTCTAGGTGTCAACTATTGTCTGTCCCTACTGCTACCTGGGAAGGGGCATGTCAAACCCACCTGGGCCAGGGACCCTCTCTAACAGCCTTAGGTTGCTTAAGGGCTGAGTCTAACTGCCATGCTGGATGTGAAGGTGGGGAGGAGGGGTGGACCGGCCTCCTGGAGCACTGGTTGCCAGGAAGCCTGGCCTGGCCTGGGTGAGGTGGGCAGGAGCCTAGCGTGGGGCATGGCAGGTCCAGTAGGATGCGGGTTTCGGCTGGGACTGGAGAAGGTACCCAGACTGTGGGACTTAGAGCAAGTGGTTTATCCAGACCAACAGCAATCCCCTCTCTCCTTACTGTTTTTCATAATGAAGCACAAATGGGCAAAGTAAAAGGATTCTTCCACCCAGGAGGATAGAAAAGGAAACGTCCGCAGGAGGTTCAGGAGTGGAGGGACAGGCTCGGGGGTGTGGCTGCCAGAAGAATGGGGAAGGAGCTCTCGAGCACAGGACTCGGTCCAGGGAGCTTGGGACCGGGTGGGTTGGGGTGAAGCAGTTGTGGGGTAAGGGTCAGTTCGAGGGTGTGGATTTGGGGGGGAGTGTTGAGAGGACGGTGGAGAAGTCTGGAAAAGAGAAGGGAGAGGTAAGCGAAAGACACGCGATTGAGATAGGGAAGTAACGTGGATCAGAACACAGAAAAGGGGGGTCCCGAGCAGAAAATAATGCCCGAAGAGAAAGACAGCGAGGAGCTTCGGAGCAGGCGCTGGAGCCCCGCTGGGCGAAGAAGTGGCTGTAAGGGCCGGAGGGTTCCCGGCCGCCGGGGCCAGCGGGCCTGGCCTCCGAGGAGACGCGGATCCTGGGGCCCCGCGGCGGGGGCTGCAGCCCCGGGCTGGGCCGGGTCGGGGTCGGCCGGCGGCCCTACCTGGTACACGGAGGCCTTGGGCAGGTCCAGGCACACGGTGCAGCATAGCACCGAGTAGAGCCGCTCCTCCAACTTCCCGCTGCCTGCCGCCGCCGCCGCCGCCGCCGCCTCGGCCGCTTCGGCTGCCCGCAGCCGCTTCTTGGGCGGCGCGTCGGGGTCGCCGGCCGCCTCCTGCAGCTGTAGCTGCCGGGCGCCCGCCAAGCCCGCCTCGTCTGGGAGCCCAGGCCCCGCCGCCTCGCCCAGTGCCGCCGCCGCCGCCGCCGCTGCCGCTTGCCCGGCGGCCGCCCCGGGCCCGGCTACGACCCCGACCCCGACCCCGGCCGGCACGGCGCCCGCGGGCCCCGCGGCCGGGCCGCCCCCGCCAGCCTCCTCGGCGCCGGACATAGCGGCCGGCGGGCCCGGCTGGCGGATGCCGGCGCGCTCCCGCGGCTAAAAGTTAGGGGCGCCGTGCGCTCCCGCCGCTCTCCCGCCGCCGCCGCGACCCCGCAGCTCCACTCCTTGCGCCGCCGCCTCAGTGGGCCCGGCCCGCGCGTCGCCCCACAGCCGCCGCGGCCACCAACCCCGACACGGCCGCCATCTTTGTTTTCGCTGTGCGCTTCCCCCCGCCCCGCCGCCACCGCCCCCCCGTCTTCCCCGTCACGTGAGCTCCGCGCGGGGCCAATGGGAGCGCCGCTTGGGGCGAGACGGCGCAGGGACCAGAACCAATGGGAGCGCGAAGGCCCCCCCGAGGGCCCGCCCCTGCAGAAGGTGGGCAGGAAGGGGGCGGGGCCCGGGCGAGCCAGGGAGGGACGCGCACCTGGGACTGGGAAGGCCCACGCGAGCTGCTGCGTCGGCGCAGCACCCACGCTCCATGAGCCAGCGGCAGCGGGGTGCAGCCGCTGACTCTTACGGCGGGGTGTGCCTGCGTCTTGGTCCCCCAAAACTCAGGCTCGTGTTTTCTTCCCGGAGGGGAAGGGCACAGATGAAAAACCCCGCCGGCCACCCTTATCTGTTCCATGCGGAATCCGATAGGTCTCCACAGGACGCAAGCAGAGGGACTTCCGGGGAGAAGGGACTCCAGACCCCTAACCCACCGGAATCTAATCCTCTGGTCATCCGAACCCCTCCTCCTAACCCTAGGGTTGGAGGCCGAAGGGGTCCACTGAGGGAAATGGAGGTCTTAGGGAACAGGACTGGCTTCCACAGGCCAGAGGCACACAGGAGGGCAAATCAGCCCTGGGAGGATGTGCGTTTCTGGAAATGGCTGTGGTACAGCCGTCCCCTGCCTCCACCCTAGCCGTCAGTTTCTGAAGGTCACTGCCCCAAAGGACCACCTGCCAGGCCAGGCCAGGCTATCTGGAACTCCACCATGTTCCCAGGAGAGTAAGGGCCCAGGGCTACGTCTTCTCGGTCCAGGGGTCCCAGACAGTAGTCAAAAGGATACCAGGCTGGATGAGGCCCCATGCTAGTTCCAGCATATATCCTGTCAGGGTAATGAGCTGCTGCCCTGATGGCCTTTAGGAAGCTCACTAAAGGATCCCTCAATCCCTCTCAGAAATGGGCAGAGTCCGTATTCCCACAAAATTCCTACGATTTATTGGAGACTAGGCCCCTTCTCTGGATCCACAACCATGTCCAGCCCAGATCCAGGCTCCCCAAATGTATCTGGGATCCTGTGCCTTTCATGTTGGTCTAGACAAATCCCCACAGATGGCCAAAGGACAGCACCCAGACTCTGCCCCTGATCAGTCAATGTGCAGCAGGCCCATTTCAGTGGGCAGGAGAGTCTACCCCTAGGGGAGAAAAGCGCCAGGAGCTGGCAAGTGGGAGGGGAAGTGGTTGGCAGGGCAGAAACCCTGCCTTGCTGCAACCAGCTGTCACTCCCATTGCAGGCGCTGTGTATGCAGGGCCCGGCAGTAAGCCCAGCTGCCTGCAGCCAGGGCCCAGCGACAGATATCCTCCTTCGGTAGCAGCAGCAGCCTGTCCTCCTCCAGCCGGCTCAAGAGGCCTGCTACACCCAGCATCGCACCCCCCCACATCCCATAAGTGTTGGCTGTGAAGACAGCCACAATGAGGATGGTCACTGCGACCACCAACAGCATTGCCTGACCAGCCACAGAGCGGCCCTCAGGGCCGAGATGGCCTCCAGCCACTGCTAGCACCATGCCTCCTCCCAGGAGCAGGTTGGCAGAGGAGCGGTCTCCATTCACCCAGTGGAAATCGAAGGCCAGAAGGGGCAGGCCGATGACGGTGGCCACCCAGGCTCCAGCAAGACAGTCTTCATGTGTGCTCAGCCCTGGGGCCAGCATGGTGGCGGCAGCCAAGACCTGGAGCAGGAAGCCAGCAGCAGCCCCTCGACTTGCCTGTCAACACAGAGAAGGGAGGACATGAAGGAAAAAGAGGCCGGGGCCACCCTTTTAAACAGGAAAGGGTTTGGGGCTTCCTTAGAGACCTGGTCTTAGATTCACTTCCCCTCAACCTCACCCTAATCAGGAAACTAGGTCCTTGGGATTTGGGAGGAATGGGGATGCACCCGTGCTCAGACCCAGTGTACTCACCTGGGCTGTGCTCGCGGCTGCGTGCAGAGATACCACTCCTAGCACCAGATGGGACAGGGCTGTGTTCCACTCAACCCCCGGCTTGGGGGCCATGGTACCTCGGGCGGTAGTAAGTTTGAGGACGTAGATAGGAGATATTCAACTTTGGAGACGAAGAAAGTGCAGAAGCCAGCGACACTCTAGTAGCCCACGTTCCAGGGCCCTATTACTAGTTAGGAGAGATTCAGTCCTCCATTTTCCGGATCCCTGAGGCCACTGCACACACCTGTGGGGAAGAAGAACCTAATTCATCCGGGAAACAGGGGCTTAGGTAGGCTGGGGCGGGGGGGCATGAGTCCTGGGGCCCTGGAGCCCAAATCGGGGTGCCGGGCCCGGGGGAGAGGGAGCGGCGGCCTCGGCCTACTCCCTGCGCTCTGGGAGGCGCAGTCCTGGGAGCCCGGGCGCGGGAGGAGCGATGGCGCAGGACTTCCGGCAGCCTGCCGTGCGCAGTTACCCGGCTGCGCGGTCTCCACGCAGCGGCTAGCTGGAGGCCAGGGCCTGCCCAACGCACTGCCCCCTGCCGTGGGCCCGGCCTCCTCGGCCAGGCCTCCGGTTGCGAGAGGGAGCTTGGCCGGGAACTTCCACCACCGAGAGGAACAGTGGCTAGAGCGGGCCGGGGCGGGACTAGGGGCGGGGCCTGGGGGGGTCGGTTGGAGGCCCTAGCAGCGGGTGGAAAGAGCTCGGAAACCAGAAAATGCTCTGTTTGGGTGGGTGCGTGGGCACAGCGGTTTGGAAGGAGCGTGATGAGGGAGAAGAGCCTGCGCGGGGCTGCGAGGGGCGGGGTCTGGGCGGGGCCGAGAGGGACGAGGTGTGGGCGGGGCTGAGAGCCGCGGGTTTGCGAGGGGTGAATGGGCGGGGCTGAGGGGAGGAGGCCTGGACGAGGGTCTGGGTGGGGCGGTGAGGGGCGGGGTCTGGGCGGGGCTGCGGGGAGAGGTGGGGTCTGGGCGGGGCTCCGGAGAAGGGAGGGTGATTCCCCGCGTGAAACCGGAGCGATGGGGAACTCCGCGGAGGGCGGGAGGGATTCCGAGAGGAGGGTCGCGGGAGCTGTGGGCGCTCTCAGCTCGGTGTCCGCGGTGTAGGGGTTGGGGCGCGCGGGACGGCGCCGTGAGAAGCGGCCGGTCTGCATGTGCGGCCGCAGGCACCTGTTTCTGGGACCCCCGTCCCCGTGCGCGCCCTCCAGCCGTGGGAGCCGGGCCGTGGGGGCGGCCGTCGCGAGCATGCGCACCGGTACTGCGGCGGGCGGGCGCCGAGTCGGGGCGCGGGGACGCGGGGCGGCGCGAAGCGGGGCCCTCAGCCGCCCCGCGCTCCCATGTACGCCTTCTACTCGCTGCTCATCTACATTTTCTACAGCCTCTTCCGCAGAGATGGTGGCGCCGCGGCGGCCGCGGACCCCGGGGACCCCGCCCAGGTGACCGGGGCCGGCCGCGCAGCCTGTCGCCTCCGCCGCCCGCCCTACCCCCACGCCGAGGTTCCCGGGGCGGGGGCGGGCGCGGGGCGCGGGGCAGTGCTGAGGACTCTCGGCTCCGCTCCGGTGCTGCAAGCGCAGACCTCAACCCCGACCCTCTGGCCCGGTTCGCGGAAGGAAGGGCCCGCAGGTTGCCTTCCGCCTCCTCAGCGGTGCCCCTGCTCCCTCCATAGAGAGCCTGCAAGTCCCGGGGTCGCCGGCGCCCGGACCTGCCCGCGCCAGAGCTGTGGACCGAGCTGACCGGCCTGGCCGGTAGGTGCGGGCCGGGAGCCCAGCGGTGCGAGGGCGGTTCCGGGACCTCCCTGGGAGGGGCGGAGGCCCAGGCTCCAGCACGTGACCCGAAATGCCTCCCGCCCCCCTCCCCGACCCGCAGGCACCTCCGAGTCTGAGGATGGGTCGGAAGGCGGAACCGAGGGCCGCGCGGCCGCGGTGTCCCTGGAGGAGGCCCTCCTGCGCCTGGCCCAGTTCCTCTCCGTCCAGTTGGGGGCGGAAGAGAGCTGCGGGAGCCCGGCCGACCTGGGCCAGGTGAGCGCCGCGAGGGGGCTGCGGGCACCCGCCGCCTGCGCCGGCCTTCCTGGCCCTCACAGCCCTGCTCCAATTCTTGTCTCCTCCGAAGTCCGGCGAGGTGCCCCCACTGTTGACAGTGACCAGCCAGCTCTTGGCCCTTCTGGCATGGCTTCGGAGCCCCAGGGGGAGGCAGGCCCTGCTCCAGGGGACTCAGCCAGCTCCTCGGGTCGGGCCCCCAATTCCAGATGGTAAGTGAAGGGCAGTAGGTTGAAGAAGGACTCTGGAGGGAGCAAACCCCGTTAGAACCTGGGCGGCCTGGAATTCGGGGTCCCAAGGCCAGCCCCGTTCCGGAGGATTCAGACCAGAAACCTTTTCAGGGCTAACTGGGTCCTCCCTACTGCAGGATCCATATCCCAAGAAGAAAGCCCTTCCCGCATCGCTGCAGTCCCGGGCGAGTCCCCGGGGGATGAGGCGCAGGGACAGCAGTCCCTCCAGTTGGAGGAGGACCACAGGGCGTGGCAGCGGCTGGAGCAGCTCATCCTGGGACAGGTGAGGGCCCCAGGAGCCCGCAGGGATTGGTAACTGGGGCGCCAGAAAAAGGAAATCCACTCTGTCTCTCTCACTTCTCCCCAGCTGGAGGAGCTGAAGCAGCAACTGGAACAGCAGGAGGAGGAGCTGGGTCGCCTGCGCCTGGGCGTGGTGAGGCTGCGGGGGACCTGGCAGGGCGGGGCTTGGCGGGCAGTTTCAGGTGAGTGCCTAGGCTTCCTCTCCACCAGGGGGCGACAGACTCAGAGAAAAGGGTTCAGCATCTGACCCTGGAGAACGAGGCCCTGAAGCAGAGCCTGAGCCTGACACGGGATCTTTTGCTGCACTGGGGCCCGGGGCCCCCCACCAGGGCTTCACAGGTACCCTGCTCCGGAGCTGCAGCCGTTCCTGCAGCCTGGGGCTCCTGCACACCTGCCATGAAGCCACAGTGCCCAAGCCTCCTTGAGACCTTCTGGGGTGGCCTGTGCTGGGCAGCCCCATCAGGGAGGCCGATGCCTGTGGGAGGACTCCCCTCTCCATGGCCCCTCTGAGTGGCTGACCCCAGGAGAGCAGAGGGATGGTGGAAAGGAGCTCTGCGTGGAGTTGGGAGGCATGGGTTCACAGCCACCTCTGTCAGCCTCTTGACTTGACTTTCCCATCTGTGAAACGGTACCGCAGAACACCCCTCTCTGAGTCCCCTCCTGGCCCCCACCCTCCCGCAGGAGGAGGCAGAGGCATTGGTGGAGCTCCAGGGCCGGCTTCAGGAGGCCCAGGACACCACAGAAGCCCTCCGAGCCCAGGTGGGTGTGGGGCCCAGGGATCTGTGGCTCGGGTGAGGAGGGCTTGGGTGCTGGGAGGGGCTTATCTGAGGCAGTGCCTGGTAAGTGCCTGTTTCCTCAGTGACGGGTGGGGTTGGGCGGGGCAGCTGGGGGTGCAGGAGGTGCAGCTGCAGGGCCTTCAAGGGGCCCTTCAGCAGCTCCAGCAGGAGACGGAGCAGAACTGCAGGCGGGAGCTGCAGCAGATGCATGGGCAGCTGGCAGGTAAGGTCTGGGGCTTGGGCTCACAGGAGGCCCTGGAGGCTGGGCCTTCCCGTCCAACAGACTTCCCTCTCCAGGACTTCGGGCACGGATGGCCAGCCTGCGTCAGGGCTGCGGGGACCTCCGAGGATTGGTCAGCACCTTTACCCAGAGCTGTCAGGGTTCGCTGAGTGAGGCCCGGGGCCAGGTCAGGTCCTCTCCCCACCAAACCCCTCCTCTCTGGACAGCCTGTTCACTCTTCTTTTGATGGGGTGCTCCTGGGGAGCTGGCTGTGCTAGGAAGTGGGGCTCTGAAACCCAAACAGTTTCTGTGTGACCCAGAGTATGATTTCATTTCTCGGCCTTGTTTCCATCCTGTGCAAACCTGGTTGACAGTGAAACTCTCACAGCATTGCCCAGAATCACAGAGGAAACAGATGATGTGGTGGCCCTGCTTTTTATTCCTGGGCTTTATTCCGGGTTAACTGAATGATGTCCCCAGGGGCCCAAAGCCAGTGAAAATTGTGGATCAGGCCAGGCGCAGTGGCTCACGCCTGTAATCCCAGCACTTTGGGAGGCCAAGGCGGGTGGATCACGAGGTCAAGAGATCAAGACCATCCTGGTCAACATGGTGAAACCCCATCTCTACTAAAAATACAAAAAATTAGCTGGGCATGGTGGCATGTGCCTATAATCCCAGCCACTCAGGAGGCGGAGGCAGGAGAATTGCCTGAACCCAGGAGGCGGAGATTACTGTGAGCTGAGATCAGGCCATTGTACTCCAGCCTGGGAAATAAGAGTGAAACTCCATCTCAAAAAAAAAAAAAAGGAAATTGTGGATCAGCACAGCTGGGTGGTCCTGTGGGGGCTTCTTGCTACTCTCAGCACCCCTGATCCCCCACCTCTGCAGCTGCTTGGCTGACTGAACATCCCTGTTTCCTCAGGTGTCCTGGGCCTTGGGGGCACTGTCATCTGGAGGGCCTGGCACTCAGCTCCCTGAGGGGCAGGAAGGGCCCCCAGCCGGATGCCCAGGACGGCTGCCAGAGCTCAAAGGTATGGCAGGCTTGGGAACCTGAGGGCAGGGAGGGCAGCTGGAGGAAGTGCAGCCTCTCTGTGCTTTAGGGTCTGGGAGGCATCTTGCTGACCTGACCCCTACTGCAGGAAATATCCGTGTGCTATGTCGCCTGAGGCCAGGGACACCCTCCAGCCTAGTGAGCGTGGAGCCCGGTCCAGGGGGCACCGTCACCACCTGCTACCGGGGGCGCCATCGGCGATTCCGCCTAGACTGGGTCTTCCCTCCAGACGCCAGCCAGGAGGAGGTGACAGCCTGCCTTTGAACCTATGCTGACCCTTTCTCAGAGTCCCCTGAAGAACAAGAGAGGCTCCAGTTTCCCCTTTCCAGTCTAGCTGCCTATCTGGAGGAGGGAGGCGGCTGGGCTGCAGCCAGGAAGGAAAGGGAACCGAGGAGGTTGGGAGGCAGGACAGGCAGCCCAGCTTGGTGTCTCCTCCTCCCAGGCTTCACTGCCTGCCCACTCCCCTTTGCTGCAGTCCAGGGTCTGCCCAGCTATGAGGGCAGGTGCCCCTCATTGCTTTGTGGCCCCGGGGCCTGTGGTGGGCGGCCATGGGTGAGCAGCTTCTTGCCCTAGTATGCTCCCTCTGCCCTGCCTGGATCCCAGTCTCCTTCCCTGCCCTTTTCCTGCTAGATACCTGTGGAAAATAAGGGGCTCCAGCCCCAGCCCATCCCATCTTCGCAGGTGTCTTCATCTGCATGCACCCTTTGCTGCTAGATCTCCCATAGCAGAGAGGGTCTGTCACTCAGGTTGTCATCTCAAGGGCCTGGCACTCAGTTCCCTGAGGAGCAGCAAGGGCCCCCAGCTGGATGCCCAGAGTGGCTTCGAGAGCTCAAGGGTATGGCAGGCTTGGGAGCCCAGAGGGCAGGGAATGTGGCTAGAGAAAGTGCAGTCTCTCTGTGGAGAAAGGAGATGGTGGCTCAGAGCCAGGGGAGACTAGGTAAGGGGCAGAATGGCAGCAACTCACGCCCAGGTTACCTGTCAGCCTCACGGACAGGGTGATGACTGCCCAGCAGGTGGCCAGGGTCACCCTGATTCCTTCTTTTCCCACCACTTATCTCTTCATCCCACACAGCTCTCTGGCCAAACTACAGCCCTGCACAGGGCATGCCTTGTGCTGTGTCCTCTGGACAGGGCCCTCTAATTCAATGTGTCTGAACCAAAGGCTTCTGTAGCCAAGCCCCTCACCTGCACTCCCATTTCTGCAGTGGCGCCATGATGCCCTGAATGTCATCCACAGCACCATCTCCGAGCAGTCATGGAATCTCAGTGACCACACAGAACCCAGAATTCTAGATTCTGGCCTCATGGCAGTCTTCAAACAGAGCTGACAGCCTACCCTGTTACCAGTGACCTTCTAAGCATAAAAGCCAGCCATGTTGTTGCTCAAAAGATTGTTGGTGTCCAGTGCTAACAGGGTGAATGTCCCAGCCCTGTCTCTCTCAGCTGCCTCTGCACCTGTCCCTGCCACCTAGGCTTAGCAGGCCTGGCTGGCCACTATCCCCCACACCTGTAGGCCCTGCCTGGGCTCATGCTTTGTGAGCCAGGTACTGCTCTGGCCCTTTAGGTGCACTGCCATGGGCATTCACAGCAGGTGCCACTGCAGCCCTTACTCCCCAGAGGGGAAACTGAGGCACAGGAAAGCCAATGAGTAAACTCCAATCACACTGGAGTGTTAATCGGGCAGTCAAACCTCAACATCTAGGCTCTTTTAAAATATTATATATATATATATATGTATATATATGCACCTTTTTTTTTTTGACAGTGTCACGCTTTGCCTTCAGGCTGGAGTGCAGTGGTTCAATCTCAGCTCACTGCAACCTCTGCTTCCCACGCTCAAGAGTTCCTCCCACCTCAGCCTACTGAGTAGCTGGGACCACAGATGTGCAACACCATGCCTGGCTAATTTTTTGTAGTTTTTGCAGAGACAGGGTTTCCCCATGTTGCCCAGGCTGGTCTCAAACTCCAGAGCTCAAGCAATCCACCCACCTTGGTGTCCCCAAATCCTGGGATTTTTGTTCATGTTGGCTTCCACGTAAAGGACACCACACCTGGGTTCTTAGCTACTGCCCCAGTCTCCTTGGTGGCCTTCAGGACTCCAGATCCTCCACATAGGCTGTTCCCTCTTCTCATCACGTCTTTTCCCTCTTCTCATCACGTCTTTTCCCTCTTTGCCTGGCAAAGTCTTGCAAGCACCAGCTTCTCTAGGGAGACAGCGGGTCTCAGTAGGACACTTCCTCCCCCATAGTCCCTTAGAGCCATCCTCCCAGGGACTAGGCTCACACCCTGCCTTCATGGCACACCCCACCCCACCAAATAGGTCACAAACAGGCAACGTAAGGGGGACTCAAAAACACTCTCCCACCCTGCCCCAGGTCTTCAGAGAGCTGGAACCTGCGGTGCTGTCCTGCCTCCGAGGCTACAGTGTCTGCATCTTCACCTATGGCCAGACAGGGACCGGGAAGACCTACAGCATGGAGGTGGGACGGAGCCCACGCCCCAGTGGGAGAGGCCCCAGGGGGCTCTGCATGACTTGAATGTGAGCCCGACGTGCACCCCACCCCACCCTCAGGGCCCTCCTGAGGACCCTGGCATAGCTCCTAGGGCGCTGCAGTCACTGTTCCGGGAGATGGGGGCTGGCAGGCCACACCGGGTGACACTCAGCATGGTGGAGATCTACAACGAGGCTGTCAGGTCGGCTGCTCCCCCGGGTTGGCCTCCTCCCCACCCTTGGCCCAGGGCCCTTCTGGATTTCCAGAGAACCCTGGAACTAAGCCCTTCCTCTTTCTCACCAGGGACCTCCTTGCACCAGGGCCTCCCGAACGCCTGGCTGTGAGGCAGGGCCCAGAAGGCCAGGGCGGGATCCAGGTGGCTGGCCTCACCCACTGGGACGTGCCCAACCTGGAGACACTGCACCAGGTAAGGCTGTCCCGCCCTCCGGGAGCCCCGTGCTTCCGCTTGGGGGTGGGGACCCTGTACCAGGCCAGCCCTGTTGCCTCGCCTTCCAGATGCTGAGACTGGGAAGGAGCAACCGGGCCACTGCTGCCACCGCCATGAACCAGCGGAGCTCCCGCTCGCACGCCCTGGTCACGCTGACGCTGCGCGCGGCGTCTCCACCGCGTGCTCCAAGCACCGCAGGTACCACAGCCCGTGCCTGAGCCCTGGAGTCTACAGCGTACCCGAGGCCCGGCCTCCCCCCATGTCAGGCTCGCTCGCCCCTCTAGGTACACTGCATCTGGTGGATCTGGCGGGATCCGAGCGCGCACGGAAGGCAGGGGAGGCCGGCCTGCCGCGGGGAGACCCAGACGGCGCCCGGCGCCTGCGGGAGGCCCAGACCATCAACCGCTCGCTGCTGGCGCTGGGAGGCGTGATGGCCGCACTGCGGGCCCACCGGCCACACGTGCCCTTCCGCGACTCGCAGCTCACGCGACTGCTGCAGCCGGCGCTGGGCCCCGGCACCACCGCTGTGCTGCTGCTGCAGGTGGGCGCCGGGGCGGCACGGGCGTGGGGCGGGGCTGTGCATCCCGCACGCTGCCCACCCGGGCCCGCCCATCCGCGCCACTTGCCCGCAGATATCCACGCGGCCGGAGGATCTTGGCGAGACAGTCTGCTCACTCAAGTTCGCCGAGCGAGTGGGTCAAGTGGAGCTGGGGCCAGCCCGGCGCCGCAGGGTCCCGCGCTCCTCCGGGACACCCTCCTCCCTCAGTACTGACACTCCGCTCACCGGGACTCCCTGCACCCCTACGCCGTCCCCTGGCAGCCCTCCAAGTCCCAGACCTGACAGCGGGTCCGGCTCGGCCCTTGCGCCTGCAGAGGGCCTGCCCCTGTAGTCTTGGGTTTTGGTCCTGCCCAAGGGGACTCAGGCTAGGTCTCTGCTGGCAGAGGCGGTAGTAAAGTCCCTGTACCCCATCTCCCAGGGCACGAGCTCCTTGGCCTCTTTGGGTCCACTGCCCCCGAACTCCCAGAGTCGCCCCTCCACCTTCGCAGCCAGTACAGTGTGTTGTGCCCGGTGAAGTGACCACTCCCCCGCCCCCAGCCCCGCATCTGGCAGCAGACCTCCTTCCTCCTTATCACCATTTGCTGTTATCACGGCACACAGCAGGGAATCCCGATCCCCCCACCCCAAGTGGTCATCCAAATCACCACTCCTGACCCAAAAATCAGGCATGGCATTAAAACGTTGCAAATTCCTTTACTGTTACCTTCCCCACCACCAGGATCATGTAGGGTCCAGTCTTTTTACTCCCTAACCCATTTCCTGAAAAAGGTGCTACCTCCTTCCCAGACAGATGAGAGAGGGCAGGACTTCAGGCTGGATCCACCATTAGGCTCTCCCTCCCCCAGCCTAGAGCAAGGGAGGGAGGGGAGGTGATGGCCGGAGACGAATGGATGGGTGGTGGGCTGAGAAGAGGAAACGAGGAAGGGCTATTCCAGGCTCGGCCCTGCCCCTCCAGCTTTGCCTCTGGGTGTAGGGAAACAGGCATGACTGACCAGGGCGAGGGCTGTGCCCAGGTGGGCCACGGCCATGCATCAGGTAGTCCAATAAACACCGTGGACTCCCAGCAAGGCTGCTGCCTGGTGTTTCGAGGCTGCTGTGGTCACAGACACCCCACTGGCCTTGGCTCCCTGTCAACAAGCCAGGGGTGGGAGCAGGAAGGAGGAGCAGCCCCTGCCTTAGAAGCCTCACAGGCTGCACCAAGAGAGCAGCCAGCCTGGGGCTGGGGCTGCCAGGTCTCGAGGGTGGCTGATCCAAACGTCATAGATACTTTTGTTGGGTGGCACCCCCTGGAAGAGGGTGTCTAGATCCCAGAGCAGCCCTGGGGGCCCTTGGGTTTCAGGGGTCACCCCCCAGTAGGCAGGGCTGGTTGACGGTGGACACTGGGGACAGGAGGTGGGTGGTGGTGCTAAGGGCATTACCACATTGGGAGTGTAGATAGGCAAATAGGAGGTAGGCAGCTGCCCCCAGAGGGAGGCCCTATGTCCCCCACTGGACAACCCCCCAGGAACTGAGGTGCCCTGTAGTAAGTGGAGAGGCCAGGGCCTAGGATCTGGGGAGAGGGTACAGGGCCCAATGGATCCCCCCTGGGAAGCCTCCCCCTCCACTCTCGTGGGGCCCGGAAGGGGGCAGAGGGGCCACAGAGGCCTCTCAGAGGAGAGCATGGGTGGGGTAGGCACAGCCCCTTCCCCACTATTCTCCATGCCTGTAGGAACTGGGCTGCTCTGTGGAGCTAGCCCCGGCCAGGGTGCCCCCTCCTGGGAGCCCCCTAGCAGGGACTTGATGTTGAAGCCCTCGCTGGGTGGCGGCAGGGGACTGGGAGGCCGATAGGGCCGGCCATGCAGCACGTAGGGGCCCAGGTCCTTGGGGAAGGCTCCTCTCGCACCCCCGTTCTGCCAGCGCCGGCACAGGGCCGTGTTCTGCAGCCGTAGCGCCTCGGCTGGGATCAGGCTCACATCGACCGCCCAGAAGTTGCCCTTGGCCTGGGGCTTTGCAGGGTCCTTGGGCACCTGGGTGTGGGGATCAGACATGGGTGGGGCTGCCCGACCCTGGATGCTCAGGACTTCCTCGTGCGCCCCGCCCCCGCCCTGCCCCACCTTTCGGAAGCATCGGTTGGAGGAAAGGTTGTGGCGGATGGAGTCCTTCCAGCCCTCGTAGTCTTCCCTGAAGAAAGGGAACACCGCCTGGACCTGACGGATGATCTGAAGCCGCCGGGTGGCCGGCCAGCACGGTGAGCCCGGATGGGGAAGGGGCAGTGTCCCATCCCTCCCCTCCTACTGGGCTCAGAGGTGGCCAGCACGGTGAGCCCGGATGGGGAAGGGGCAGTGTCCCACCCCTCCCCCCTTACTGGGCTCAGAGGTGCAAGGGTGTTGGCCCCCGTTCTCCCCAAAGAACATTTTACACCAAAGGACGACAGAGGGGACGGGGGCTCCCGGAGAAGGGTCATGCCTCAGGGCCCTCGGTTCTCAGGACTGGTCCTATTGGCTGGGTGGGCTAGGAAGGGGTGGGGGTCAGGGCTTGAGCCTGGAAGTAGGTCGGGAATGGGTCTGGGGAAAAGTCCAGCCTCGGAGTGCAAGGGAGAGTAGGGGCCAGGGCCATCTCACCTGGGCCAGCTTCAGCCTGCGGGAGGGTGCCGCCTGAATCACCAAGGCAATCATGGCCAAGTAGGTGTAAGGGGGCTTGTCATGTCGCAGGTACCTCTTCTTCCTCCTCTTGGGGGGCTGGGAGGGCGACTCTGCCTCTGGGGGCCGCAGGCGGGAGCCGCTGCGGGGCCCCATGCAGGACCGTAGACAGTGTGGGCAGGGGCCTGGCCTGGTGGATGGCTCAGGGCAGTGGGGCAGTGTGGGAGGCAGGGCCAGGGCCTGAGGCCGGGTGGGGGCTGGCTGGCTGGGCCCTTTATCATTCGGATGGAAAGGGGAGGGGAGGGAAGGGAGGAAGAGGCTGTGGGGGAGGGGAGCCTGCCGAGGGCTGCCACAATTAGCAGGTTTTGGTTAATCTGGAAGGGAGGGGCAGAGAGGATTCTAGTGGGTGCTTCTCCTGAGGCCTTAGTCTCCACCCCTGAGCTGCCTTTGGGTGGCCAGGCTCCTCTTCGAAGGGTCTGTCATGATACATGACTATTTTATCCCGCCTTCCCTGGCCGGGTCACAGGACCCCACTGAACAGATGGGGGAGTAATTAGCCCATGCTAAGCTCCCAAGGAAGAGTGTCCCCAGAGTTCAAGACCTAGCAGCTAGTAGGCTATGAGGGCTAGATACCTACCCAGGACATGATCGGGTGGGGCTTTCGGGAGGAGAAGGCCACGAAGTTCCCACCCCAGGAACAAAAGGGAAACTTGGACTCAAGTGATTTCCTGGGAGCTGCTTCAGGAGTCCAGGCGGACCCGCCACCTCCTCCTCCCTAGCCATCTGATCAGCGTCTCTGCCCCTCCGTCCGAGCAAGGCTGGTGTTAGGTACTCTGCCCCAAATCCCAGGTTCTCTTCCCTCACAAGGGGCAAGTTTGCCCAAGAGGACAGTAGCTCTGGGCACTAGCAGCAGGGGTTGGTGCTGGCAGCAGAGCTAAGGGCCCCTGGACACATGGGGGCCCAGGAATACGCTTTTGCTCTCTCTGAGAATTCAGCTTTTCTTGTTCAGCCCTCACCATGATCACCTCAAAAGGCTGAAAATCTGAAGTATATGGTGGAGCCCAGCCCATCCCAAGGTGTGGAGGGGAGGGACTGGCAGCGGGTGTCCTGGAGGAGGAGCCTGGGCTGGACCGAGCCTTTTCTGTGGGGTGCCACCCTTTTCCCTCTATCTCCGCCACACCCCTCGGACCTCTTGTTGTTTCCCTCAGGACTCCGGTTATCACCTCGACGCTGAGGCCTTCTCTGGTGTGTTCCCTAGGCTAAGGTTGCAAAGTCCTGAATCTCGGGAGGCGAAATACTCGTGGCCTCTTACCCCATTCGGTCAGCAAGGCGTCGTTCTTTCCCACAAGTCTTTGTTGTTGTTTTGAGACAAGGTCTCGCTCCATTGCCCAGGCTGGAGTGCAGTAGTGTCATCTGGGCTCAGTGCAGCCTCCACCTCCTGGGCTCAAGCGATCCTCCCGCCTAAGCCTCCCGGGACTACAGGTGTGCGCCATAGCGCCCGGCTAATTTCTCACTTTTTGGTAGGGACAAGGCCTCCCTGTGTTGCCCAGGTTGGTCTCCTGGGCTCAAGCGACCCACCGGCCTCAGCCTCCTCCCAAAGTGCTGGGATCACAGACGTGAGCCACCTCGCTGGGCCTTTCCCTTAAGTCTTAAGGAACCCCTCTCCACTGGCGCCTCCTTGGTGGGGCGCTGGAGGCTCCCCAAGTTCCGACCGCTCCTCTCCGACCTCAGTGTCCCGGGCTGAAACACCCCCAAAACTGCCACTCATTCCGCCGGCGTCCATCCGGTTGCCAACGATGACTCGTTTTTTTTCCACCACAGTCCCAGGAGCCTTTGAGCGCTCGCCGTCTCACCCAAGGCCCGAGGAGGTCGCAGCCGCAGAAGGATCGCCTGGCCGCCCGCAGCGGACCCCGGCAGCCGCATCCCCTGATCGTCCCTCCTCAGGCACCGCCCCTGATGTCCCTCCCCAGACCCCGCCCCCGATGTCCCTCCCCCCCAGTCCCCGCCCCCGGCTCCCACGGGGCACTGCGGCTTCCGGCTACAGGTAATGCGGGCCGGAAGTGTAGCGTTGCCATGGCGAGGGCCGGGCGCGGGGCCCGCCCCCGCAGCACCTTTGGGAGCGCGGGGCCCACTGACCCGCGGAAGCCAGCGGACCCACTTGCGCGGCGGCCGGTGCGGGGCGCGAGGTGAGGCGCGGAGTCCCGGGTCCTGTGACGAGAGCGGAGCGAGGGAGAGGGTCCCCGGCTGGGCACAGCGGAAGAATGGGCACTGGGTCGACATCGAGAGAGGGGGCCGGGCCGGGGAAGGATGAGGCTCAGGGGAGGGAGGGAGGAGGAAGCCCAGGGGAGAGAGGAGGCTGCGGAGGGAGGAGGCCAGGGAGGGGCCCTCGGGAGACGCGGCTGCCGTCACGCGGGCGCCCAGGGCACAGGTCCCACCTGGCCGCCTTGGGCGTTGCTGGCTGAGTCCCACGGCAGCAGGTGCCAAGGGACAGGAAAGGCTGGGAGCTGGAGGCTGCTTCGCATTTTGTTCCAAGGTAAAGGTGTGTGGATTCTCCGCAGCCTGCCGGTCAAGTAGACAACTCCGGAATTATCTACATTTTCAGATCAGGAAATCAAGGCCACAGAGAAGGGACTTACCCAAGCTTTGTGGGGGCTTTGGAGCTAGGCTGAAGGAGAAAGTGGAGTCTCTCTGAAGGAAGTTCCTTCAGCTTTCGGGGATTAAAGTGACCTCACTTGCAGTGCTGGGCACCCGGGCCACCCCTCAGGAAATGGGATCAGGGCAAGAATTAACTAAGCAAGCACCCCGCCTGGGAAGGAGTGTCCAGGACTGGTGTGGGCCCCTGTCTGTATCAGAGCGGAGGCCCCGGGCACGACGGGATTAATTTCCATGGGTGCAGAGACGGGTGTGTACAGAGTCACTCTAGGCTTAGGGGAGCCAGAGCAAAGCTGGCCCTCCCCAAAGCTCTGTGCCTTCCTTTTCATCCTGTATCCCTACTTGGGGGTGGAAGTGGAGGCGGGGGTACCGCTGCCTTTTTCAAAGCGTGTCTAGCTCAGCAGTGAGCCCTCCTGGGCGTCTTGGTGCCCCAGTTGCTTCCTGGTCATATTGGGCTTTCCCTGGGAAAAGGGTCTTGCCTGCAGTACCCTGGGCCTCCTGAAGAGGCCTTTGGCAGCGCTGCCTGATTCACCTCGGGGATCCAGAGCCACGACTGTCCCAGAGGAGCTCAGGCGGCGTGGGGCTGGGTTGCCTGAGGAGCTGGGGGCTGCCTAGTAGACCTGCACACCGGCTGACTCCATGCGTGTCCCTGTGGTGGACCTTCAGAGCTCTGCAGGGCTAGCTGCCTGCCCCTGCCCCAAGTCTCCCAGCCTTGAGATGGGATGGTGGAGGCCTTAGGGGTCCTTTCCCCTCCTGGTGTTTGAGCTGGATTTCCTCCCTGTTGGTTGGGACCATCCCTCCTGTCTCTTGATTGCCCTGTCCTGGCCTTATCCCTCACCTGCTTGGGATGTATCTGCACTCCATTTTGCCCCGAGGGTTGCCTGGGTTAGCAAGTACCTAGCAAGGGGGCTCCTCCTGTATGTCTTCACTTTGGGGGTCTATGTCCTGGGGGTTCTTGAACCTCTGGTCTAAATAAGCAGCCAATTGATACAACTCTCCACTGCCTGTAGCTTAGGAACCTCAGTCTCAGCTGATCCCACAGATTACACCAGACCCCCAGCTCCACCCTTGTTCTGCCCCCAGTGTGTCCTGCCCTAGCACTGTGCCACATCTATTCGTTCGCAAAAATGAAAACTGGGTGGCAGTTCCAGGTTCTTCTCTCTCTCATGCCGAGGCTCTGCTGGCACTGGTGCACGCACACCTAAGTGAGGCCTTTTCATCAGACTTGCTCAGCTATGAGCTCAGAGCCTCCCATGTCACATCTGGTGCTGGGACCCCTGGACCACAGGCTCAGCAGCTGTTCACCTGTTCAGCCCATTGCAGTTACTGAGTGTGAGTGCTTCCTGTGAGTCAGGTTCTGAGGATGCAGCAGGTAAACAAACAGTAAGTGACGTGTCAAGAATTAAAACAGGGCAATGAGGTAAGAGAATAACAAGGTAACCACAGAAGAACTCTGAGGAGGTCACACTTCAGATGTTATCTAAGTCCCAAGAAGGAACACGCTATCCTAAGATCTGGTGGAAGAACTTTCCAGACAGAAGGAGCAGCTGATGAAGGTGGGGGTGATGATGAAGCTGGTAGCACCAAATAAATGTGTTAGATCAGGGGTTGGCCAGCTTCTTCTGTCAAGGGCTAGGTAGTAAACATCTTAGGCTTTGCTAACCATGTGCTTTCTGACTTTTTGTTTGTTTGAGATTGAGGCTCATTCTGTTGCCCGGACTGGAGTGTAGTGCGCGATCTCCGCTCACTGTAACCTCTGTCTCCTGGGTTCAAATGATTCTCCTGCCTCGGCCTCCCCAGTAACTGGGATTATAGGTGCATGCCACCATGCCAGCTAATTTTTTATCTGTTTTCTATTTTTTGAGACAGAGTCTCGCTCTGTCACCAGGCTGGAGTGCAGTGTCACAATCTCAGGCCATTTCAACCTCTGTCTCCCAGGTTCAAGCGATTCTTCTGCCTTAGCCTCCCTAGTAGCTGGGACGACAGGCGTGTGTCACCACGCCCAGCTAATTTTTGTACTTTTAGTAGAGATGGGGTTTCACCATGTTGGCCAGGGCGGTCTTGAACTCCTGGCCTTGTGATCCACCCTCCTCGGCCTCCCAAAGTGCTGGGATTACAGGTGTGAGCCACCTCACCCGACCTCCTTTTTCTTTTTGATATGGAGTCTCCCTCTGTCACCCAGGCTGGAATGCAGTGGTGTGATCTCCACTCACTGCAACCTCCAATTCCTGGGTTCAAGCGATTCTCCTACCTTAGCCTCCCGAGTAGCTTGGACTACAGGCATCACCACAATTGGCTAATTTTTTTCTATTTTTAGTAGAGCCGGGGTTTCTCCATGTTGTCCAGCCTGGTCTCGAACTCCCAACCTCAGGTGATCTGCCCAACTCGGCCTCCCAAAGTGCTGGCATTACAGGCATGAGCCACACATCCAGTCTTTTTTTTTTTTTTTTTTTGAGATGGAGTCTTCCTTTGTCTCCCAGGCTGGACTCCAGTGGCGCGATCTTGGCTCACTGCAACCTCCAGCTCCCAGGTTGAAGCAATTTTTCTGCCTCAGCCCCTTGAGTAGCCGGGACTACAGGCATGTGCCACCACGCCCAGCTAATTTTTGTATTTTTAGTAGAGACAGGGTTTTGCCATATTGGCCAGGGCGGTCTTGAACTCCTGGCCTTGTGATCCACCCTCCTCGGCCTCCCAAAGTGCTGGGATTACAGGCGTGAGCCACTATGCTTGGCGTTTTTGTTTGTTTGTTTTTTAAGATGGAGTCTTGCCTGGCACGGTGGCTCACGCCTGTAATCCCAGCACTTTGGGAGGCCAAGGCGGGCGGATCACGAGGTCAAGAGATTGAGACCAACCTGGCCAACATGGTGAAACCCCATCTCTACTAAAAATACAAAAAAATTAGCTGGGCATGGTGGCATGTGCCTGTAGTCCCAGCTACTCAGGAGGCCGAGGCAGGAGAATTGCTTGAACCCGGGAGGCAGAGGTTGCAGTGAGCCGAGGTTATGCCACTCCACTCCAGCCTGGCGCTTGGTGACGGAGTGAGACTCTGTCTCAAAAAAAAAAAAAAAAAAAATACGGAGTCTCTCTTTTGCCCAAGGTGGAGTGCAGTAGTGGGATCTCGGCTCACTACAACCTCCACCTCCTGGGTTCAATTGATTCTCCTGCCTCAGCCTCCCGAGTAGCTGCGACTACAGGCATGTGCCACCATGCCTGGCTAATTTTTGTATTTTTAGTAGAGAAAGGGTTTCACCATATTGGCCAGGCCAGTCTGGAACTCCTGGCCTTGTGATCCGCCTACCTCGGCCTGCCAAACTGCTGGGATTACAGGTGTGAGCCACTGCACCTGTCCTGACCTTGTGGTATCTATCAAAACTCCACAAATCTGCCATTTTGTAAAAAAGCAGCCACAGATAATATGTAGGTGAAAGAACTATGTTGCAACAAGACTTTCTTTCTTTCTTTTTTTTTTGAGACAGAGTTTCGCTGTTGTTACCCAGACTGGAGTGCAATGGCACGATCTCAGCTCACCGCAACCTCTGCCTCCTGGGTTCAAGCAATTCTTCTGCCTTGGCCTCCCGAGTAGCTGGGACTACAGGCACGTGCCACCATGCCCAGCTAATGTTTGTATTTTTAGTAGAGATGGGGTTTCACCTTGTTGACCAGGATGGTCTCGATCTCTTGACCTCGTGATCCACCCGCCTCGGCCTCCCAAAGTGCTGGGATTATAGGCTTGAACCACCACGCCCGACCTGACAGCAAGACTTTCTTTATGAACACTAAAATTTTTTGTTACTTTTGAGACAGAGTCTTGCTCTGTTGCCCAGAAGATCTCTGAGTATCTGGAGTGCAGTGGGACCCTCGGCTCACTGCAGCCTCCACCTTCCACCTTGCAGGTCAGGTGATTCTGCAGCCTCAGCCTCTCGAGTAACTGGGACTACAGGCACCTGCCACCATGCCAGGCTAATTTTGTATTTTTAGTAGAAACAGGGTTTCACCATGCTGGTCAGGCTGGTCTCGAACTCCTGACCTCAGGTGATCCGCCCACCTTGGTCTCCCAAAGTGCTGGTATTATAGGCCTGAGCCACCATGCCCGGCCTGACTACGTGGTTTCTTTCAAAACTCCTCAACTCTGCTATTATGTAAAACAGCCACAGATACCTGAGTTACAGCACCAAAACAAAACAAAACAAAAAAACCGAGCCACAGATAGTGTGTAGGTGAAAGAGCTGTGTTGCAACAAAACTTTATGAACACTAAAATGTGATTTCATGTCCTTTTCATGTGTCAGAAAGTATTCTTTTAGGTTTTTCCCCACTCATTTAAAAATGTAAAAGCCATTCTTCCTGGCACTTTAGGAGGCCAAGGCTGGGACAGGGGGTGGATCATGAGGTCAGGAGTTAGAGACCAGCCTGGCCAATATGGTGAAACCCTGTCTTTACTAAAAATACAAAAATTAGCCAGGCGTGGTGGCACACGACTGTAATCCCAGCTACTCAGGAGGCTGAGGCAGGAGAATGGCCTGAACCCAGGAGGT